ATCCGCTCCTAAAATCAGCATAATTCACGAGTTTACACCAGTTTTGTATGATTGTTCAATAAAGTTTTTTATTTTGTCAGGTTCAAAACTGCTATATAAATCTGTGCCTATTCCTGTACGAAACGATTTTTCAATTTTTTAGCCCATTACTTTTCTTTAAGTACGCATTTTACCTGGAATATGAGATTAACACACAGAAACAGATCACGCTGCAGAGATTCGATGGAGAAACAGGACTGGTAGGCGGGTGCTCCCTTCTGTCAACGACATCAGGGGAGACATGCGTCCATCTCTTAATTCTACCTTCCTACCGGCAGTGTGGTATGGCCTGAGACGTGGTCATAGACGAATGCCCAAGAGCGCCAGCTATCTGTCACCGACAGACATGGAAAGAAGATCGTTGTGAATCTCTCATCGTGAGGATCCCTGAGGGCATCGATCACTACTGGAATGACTTTCGCATCCGAGGGTAAAGCGATGCGAATGCTAAAGAATATAAAACGTGAACTACTGTACAAAGGTCAAAATTTCAATATTGAGCCTAGCAGAGAAATAGGAGCGGTAGTATAAGCAACCACTTTGACTTTAGAAAGAACTTAAATATGACAAAGACTGGCCAAAATTAAGCTCTGTTCGTTCAGCATGAGGAAAGAAAATCAATCGATTAAGTAAACAATTCACAACGCCGATCAAGGAAGGTAAAAGATAAAATTATGGAAGTGCAAGGTCAACGAATTGCTGGAATGATGTCAAAGAGCGTCATAATGCAAGGCGAGATGACTGTTTAAGGCCTATTAATCTTTATTAAGGATCAGAGAACATGAGACAAATTCTGACACACATTAAATCGAATACCGTACATAAATGGTTTTGGATCACGTGTCTAATCCGCTTGTTAATTTGATAAAAGTCTAGCAACATCGAAATGCCACTAGACAATGTTGTGGAGGACAATTCTCCAGCATACTTTAACAAGTGACTAGAAGGAACGATTGGAAGTAGCCATCTCCCGAGAAAAAACCGCCTTTTATTCACAATGTCCTCCCTCTAAGAAAATAACGAGGACAACGTCATAACCTTCATTGTCTGAGATTTAAAAAAATAAGGTTCAAACGAATCCATACCGAATTTAGGACCAAAGAATTTTCTTCCGTTGTCTGAAGATACTGAAAGTGAGGAAGCACTGCTAGGCGACGGAGAAGGCACAGACAGCTTATTCGAAAGCGTTAGATTGCTACCTAGACCATGAGCAATTTCGATTTAAACAATATTGAAAGCACGGCCAATATCGAACGTACTTGAGGTACTTTGTGGCTCCAGCTCCGCAGACATTTGGTCCAACTGAGCCTCGTTGCTCACCACCGAAAAGTTGTTCAAATATGCCTTAACATGCCTGACCATCAGCGCCTAACAACAAAACAAATATAGTAAAACACTACTTTCAAAATTATGCACTCACTTTGTCGTAAAGCTTTTTACGCGGTAAAGGCGCCCGCTG